AGGAGGCTGAGGGGAGACCCTATCACTCTCTACAACTACCTGAAACAAGGTTGTAGTGAGATGGGGGTCAGTCTCTTCTCCCAAGCAACAAGTGATAGGAGAAGAGGAAATGGCCTCAAGTTGTGCCAGGGGAGGTTTAGGTTGGACATTAGGAAAAATTTCTTACTGAAAGAGTGGTTAGACATTGGAACGGGCTGCCCAGGGAGGTGGTGGAGTCACCATCCCTGCAGGTGTTCGAAAAGCATGTAGATATGGCACGTCAGGACAGTTAAGTGGGCATGGTGGTGTTGGGTCGGTGGTTGGACTCAATGATCTCAGAGGTCTATTCCAACCTAATGATTCTATGAATGATTCTATGATTCTAATTTGTAAGGTTATCGTTTTTCCTGTATCATATTTCTTTGAGTGGAAACGTAAGAGAACTTGGTGGTATTTGAGTGGTGGAAACATAAATATCTCTTAGTTTTCATTATACGGTTGTTACTGTAACATGTAAGATTTCTGAAAGCTGATGATAATCTAATATTTTTATTGTAATTTTTGTTTTTAAAGGGCACTACGAGGAGGTGTACGATAACCAGCTTAACTTGGCCTACTGTTTCAATGATCCTGAGGACAAATGGTTAAGTAATTACTTTTATGAGCAATGCTTTAACACTGCTCAACTAATAAAAATTGATGGTGGGAAAAGAGAGGCACAAGCACATGCAAATATGGGCCTCATCAATGAGGAACAAGGTAAGTCACTGAGATCATAAATCTACATTGTGTCAGCATTGAGATAGTCATGTTTGGCAATTTGTGTTTCATCACAGGGCACAGTATTTCAATGTAAAATTGGTTTGCCACCGTAATTTAGAAGAAGTTTTGAAACTATTGCAATTTTAATTTTTGCAGTAGTGAATAGGAAGATAAAGAAGTTTATAACTATTCGCAGACTTGTTTTCTCTGACATTCCAACTACAGTTGAAAGTATGCCATCAGATGAAAAACAAAACACAAGTTTAAAGGAAGCATTTCTTTAGCACAAAGGTTTTTTGGGTTTGACCTTATTTCCTTTTGCTTGTTCTTGACAAGAGACTGGTAATGCTGCCTCAGGCCACAGGTGTTTGAGTAGGATGGCATCTGTAGTTACACAAACTGAGTTGATTTAAAAGGTATGAACATGTGATTCAGTTTAATCCTGCCTCAAATTTACACTTGGATAAAACAGCCTATCTTTTTGTGTTCTTTTTAAAAACTACCTTCTGTTTCTCTTGACTGAAAGTGACACCATTTGTTTGTACGTGGCTGCCTCATTGGTGTTTGCTTCAGATTTATACTTTACCACAAGCTCCATTTCTCCATTCACACATCTGTACCCTCAAACTGTGTGTCTCTGAAATTAGAAAAGATGTTAATGGACGTAACTAGAATCATAGAACAGTGTAGGCTGGAGGGGACCTTGAAAGATCATCTGACCCAAGCTTTCATGGGAAAGGGAGCTTAGATGAGATTATTTTAGCACCCTGTCCAATTCCATCTTGGAAACCTCCAGTGATGGGCACTCTGCCATATCCCTGGGGAGGCTCTTCCAGTGAATACCTGTTCTCACTGTAAAAAAATATTACTTTCTTATATCAAAATGAACCTTGTTTCTATACTTAAAAACATACGTTGCCTTTCATGGCAGAGGGCTTTGTGTGTATAGGAGTCTACGTATAAAAAAGGTGTTTTCCTATGTTTGTATAAAATTCTTTCACGTTATCTGGAGATAAGCAATGAGTGAGCATCAAGTAACTGAATAAAACCTATCTTCCAGCTCTGTTTCCTAAGTGTACTGGATGCCTAACCATTGCTTAAAATATATATGATTGTATAGGCATTACATTTTTGTATTTAATTTTAACTTTGTGGGTTGAAACCATTCCAACTTTGAGCTCAGCTTGTGGTTCTCAAATAGAATGGCTTTTCTCAGAAATAAGAAGATTCACAGAAATTGAAATGTTTTGTGGAAATAGTCTAATTCCAGTAAATGTCTGACAGAATGGGTGTGTTTTGAAAGACAGCCTAGTTTCCCAGCAAAAACCTGGACGTAAAACTTGCAGCTCTTTTGTTTTTTTCTAATTGAAAGGCTATTGTCCTGGTTTTTCCCCATGTTCTCTTAAAGCTGAAACATTACTCCTTTTTTAATATTTCCTCATATTTTCTAGATTTCTGGTCACTCTCGCTGTTTTCCTCTGGGCTGTTGCCATATCTCTCTTGCCTGCAACACCCAAAGTTCGATTCAGTTTTAAAATTTGAGATCATACCAATGGTCAATAAAATGGAAGCATTATTTTTCTTACAAGTTATATTTTTATTTGCATTTTCAGGTATGATATCTACATTCTTTGTTTCAGCATATGGCATACTTGTATTCAGTTCATGACCTTCAGTAATCTCTAAATTTTTTTCTGAAGAACTGTTAACTAGCTATTCTGTTCCCTGTTCTGGGATCACCAGTTAGTTCTGCCTGAATGCAATATGTTGCTTTCTTCTTGCACTAAGTAGCATCCTGTGTTTTGTAGGCAGTTTCTAGAAATTGTCGAGATTTGTTTTGAATTCTGAAGTTGTCCTTCAACATGCTTTCTCTTCTTTCTAGACTGGTATCACCTGAACATTTCTATCCTGTAATTCAGATCCTTAATGAAAATACTAAGTAGTAAACTAGACCTAGGATAGGCACCTGTAGAACCTCACTGAGTACTGTGTTCCATACTGACAGTGAACCAATAAATACTGACAAATAACCAACATCTATATAGGATCTCCTAAACAATTTTCACTCACCTAACAATAGTTGAAGGTGAACTATGCTTCCCCAATGCTTTACAAGAAAGTTATATGACAGTGAGAAAGAATTTACTAACTTAAATAGAAGATTGGTTTGATGACATTTGCTCTTGATGTATTGGTGTTGGCTGTCATATTTTCGTATTTTCTCTAAATGCTTAGGAATAATTTGTTTGACTATTTATTTGTTCCAGTATTGTTTAGGAATTGAAGTTAAGCGAAATACAGTTTCCCAGCAGATGAGATAGCCCTTGCTTAAAGCCCAGCCGGTCACAACCAAGTCATTTTCATTTTGAGTGAAAAATGCGTAATTAGATTATCTGTCTGACACTCAGTAGAATAAAATGATTGAAGTTGCTGGATTTTTTGCAACCTTTTCACTTGGTTCTTCAGTTACTATAAAATAAAATTATAAGAAGATGCAGAAAAGCAAACATCCCTAGCTGTTTGTAACTTCAAAGGCTCATACTGAACGTGACTCATTGCTGTTATCCAACCACCACCTAAAAAAATTAACATCTCCTACTTTTATGATGTGTTAAGCAAAAGTTGTTGAACACTTAAATATCTTTAAGCCCATTACAAAAGCATATAAGTTATGAAATACACTTAGAGATGCTCAGAGGAGGGGAAATTTCATTTTCCTGCTGTAAAATATTAGAAACTTCCAGAAGAGAGGCTTCTTATTAACATTTGTAAGGAGAGATAAAGCAAGGTGCACTTTCACTGCTCAGGGTAAAGCTCCACTGAATCTGTAGGGTCTGTCTTTTGCAAATATTTTCTTTCCATAGAGAGAGGTGAAAAAATTAAGAAACTGAGAGAGTAAACGTAGGATTTGCTTTGAGGGACTGCTGAGAAAAAGGCAGCAGATGTATTCCATGCACTTTTTATTTTCAGTGGGTGAAAAATTAAATCGCAAGTTCTGACTGAAGGAAAAGTGTAAGAGCAGACATTGAATTGGCATTGTATTAAATTGCATGAGTGTTAATGGAGTTGTAAGTAAAATTCTAAACATGCTATTTTTCTATATTAGATAGATATAGCTCATAAATTAAATGGTTGGGTTTTGTTCAGTTATCTATAATGCTGTAATCTGTTTGTGAACTGAATAAGTCAGATGCCTGCTTCCTGTGGGGATATACACATATATATAGGAATAGATACTCATGTATAGACATGTATGCGTGCATTAATATATATGCATAGGAATATGTATGTGTACCTATATAAATACAGGGATGTGTGTGTAGGTATGTGAATGATGCCTAACATTTACATGACACTTAAATCTGATTTAAATCATCATATCTATGTTAACTGCATTGAATAATAGTGCAGCCAGGAAGACAGAATTTACAAGAATGAGAAGGTAGTCTTACAGACCTTGACGTGTGCGTCCTTTTAGATGTAAATATCTTGTACCAGTTCTTTTCAGTTTTCTCACCCAATAGTGTATTTTTTATTACCTGTGAATGGAAGCTGTCTTATATATGCTTAGGACTGATTGCTTGGGAGTATAAAGTTAAACATGTACTTGTAAAGATTGTTGTTTGCCTTGGAAGCAAATCAATAAGTTCGCTGGGCAATTTTTGTGTAATCAAATTTAAAGTTCTTTGACTTTCAGCCTGGTCCCTGTCCTAAAGGCTGGATATAATCTGATGTTCATTAATCTTCAAAGCTAAATATTTGAGGTGTCGGCAGTGTAGACTTCAGTCATGATATTTGGATGCAGGCGATCAGTGGCTGTCAGTACCTAAGGGAGAGAAAACAATAATAATAGAGTAGCCTGCTACAGACACAAATGAAACATTCTGCTTGGAGCAAACATGATTTTAGTGGCAGTCCTTTGCAGAATGAGACTTTAACCTCTTCTTTTAAAAACTGTGTTTGTATAATAAGGTCTCTGTTTACAAGTTATCCAAATGAGATGCTACTCATTGATTACTATAGGAGTGTGCTGGTTATGATCCTGTTCAATTAGCTGTACTCACCCCGTAGTTTGTCTTTGCTCAAGGGGTTGATAATAAATTGTTTTGGTTACTAGTAATTTTCTCATGTAGCTATTAGACATGCCAGTATCACTTTATATACATTGAAAAAGCAATGCCATGTTTTAATTTTTTTTTCTCACGTTAAATAAATTCAGCATTACTTGTCATCAAGTAAGGACAGGCTTCGTGACAGAATATCAGTTAAGAAAAATGAAGTAAAAAAAAAAATTTATTCTGTGTTTTGAATGTGTTTTTAGAAGCAGTATCAGTCATTATAAATGTGTGTGTCTGTCTGCATATCAGAGAGTAAGAAGATGATCATAGTCTGATAGTTCTATTATATTAGTGTAAATTCTGCTAAAGATAATTGTGAACTTCAGGTTTACACTGTTGTATGTTGCAGAAGAAACACAATCCGAGTGTACTAATAAACATAATCGCTAGTGGTAGTTTGTATAGTTTTTACACTGCCAGCTCTCATCATTACAATATTTGAGTGCTTTCTGTTTTGTATTAGATGGTTAACATCTGTCATGCATGAAATGATGTAGACCTTAAGTATATGCATCCCAAAGTTTCAGATAACTTATATCAACAACAAAAGCAGTCCGGAGGAAACAAGGAATTTCTGCTTATATGAGCCATTTCCTTCAAAGAGGTTATAACAGGGTTAGATATAATATATTTCTATATTATTCAAAAGCATAATAAAAACTGATATCTGAAAGTGTACTTGTTCTAAGAGCAGCCATCAAGGCCATTGCAAGTGATACAGGTGTTTGTATAAATGCATGTATGTATACATACGCATATACAGACGTGTATACGTATATATGTACACACACATTCAGATGTAGAGGATGCTTTAAACCGGTACTTCAGATACCGACATTTCAATCTTAATGTCAAGCAATTCTGCATTTCTGAGAGAAG